AGTGCACAATACAGCTCTGAGTCAGAAAAATCTACAGAAATTGAGGATGGAGCAACTGGCGTGGGAGCCATCCAATTAAAGGGCTGACTGTAACAGGATGCATTTACATTAGTATTTTAGTTCTGATGAGATGTCGAAGCAGATTGCCACTTATCAAGCTTTGCTTTACACCACAGAGAGCTCTTGGAGTCTATGAAACTAGGTTATTTTCCACAAAAGAGAAGACAGAAGAAATGTGCACCCCAAGGCACTGCAGCTGCTAATGGGCACTCAGGCTGCAGTACTAGACCAGAGTTAGTCCAAGGTGAAAATCTCTGACACATGGACAGTGTGAACACCATGTTGTCAGCATCAGCTGTTTCACTCCACATCTTGGTTCCTGTTGCCACACACTACTTGTTAAAATACTCACAGCCGTAATGCATCACAAGCTGGTTTGAATCATCTGTGTTGTGAATAAGATAAATGTGACAGTGGGATGATGTGTTGTCTACGAGGCAAGTGAAGCAATCCTTTTCTATCTGGTAAAGTCTCAGCAAGAGCATTGCATTCAGTTTTAGTACCATACTTTAAATTAACAGTTGGAGCAGTTTAGCCTAGAAAGATCAGAAGAAAGCCATGAGAAAGATCACTGCTCTCAGAAGCAGGAGTTGCAGGGAGAGATCTGGGGTTGTTTTTATCTAGAGAAGAAAAGGGTGAAATAGTGACAGCTTTCATGTCCAACAAAGGATGCTGCAAAGAGAAGCGGGAGAAATTGACACCTGTGTCTGCTATGGAGGAGATGATATGGATTAGACACATGAAAATCTGCCTAATAGTATGGCTGAGAAAGCGGTAAGTGAAGAAGACTTCAGGATCCACGACACAGGAAGGTTTACAAACTGGTTGGACAAGCATCTCTCAGACTTGGTTTAAACATAGTTCATCCTGCCTTAAGGTGGGAATGGACTAGATAGTCTGTTGAGATCACTACCAGAGTTACTTGGTTTGCTTCTTTTTAAAATGTAAATAGTAAAATTGCTTTTTCCTGCTCCTTTCATCTTGCCTTTCTACCTTTTGAATCATTCCACTGATCTCCCATCTGCCATTTCATGTTACCTCTCTCTGATCTATCCACTACCCATCCCAGTCTTTGTCTCAGTCCCATCTCTGTCTTTCCACCTTTGGCACTGTACTTCATCTGCAGCAGGGTTTCTGCTAGGAAATCCCTCCCTTTTCCCATGTTTAAGGCAACGTGCCTGTTTTCATTCAAATTCCTACATAACCCACGTATTTACCTATAACTGTCGAACTAAACATTGTGCCTTCATTCAGTTTCCTTAGTGTTTATGCAGTGGGTAGAAACAACAGTTTTGCACAGTTTCTTCTTTTCTTTCAGTGCCTCCTTTTGTCATTACTGATCAAGAGGTAATCAGCTCAGAGATTACCACCATTTTCCTTAAAATAGGATAATTCGTTGTATAAGAATCCAGCAACAATGCAGAAAAGAAAGGACAGAGTTGATCATTACAGAAGCTTACATGGATTATCTTTCAAATAACAAAAGGCATCACTAGTGCACTCATGTTAGAGGGAAGGATATAAGCAAAAATATTATGTATGGGTACAAATATCTACGGCCTTTTCTCAGATAATAGACGGCTACATATATAAATGAACAGATAACAATTAGTATATGTTTTTTTACTGGTATTTCTGCTTTCCCCTGGCACTTTGAGAGCACTCAGCATAACCCATGGGCACAGAGCAGACCCCCATTACCATTGGCTGCTTTTTGAGAGCCCAGTGTCAGCCTTCAGGCTGAGCTCCTGGGCACCAGACTGGACCCATTTTCCTGGTCATGTACTTCTGCTTCACCTCCTTCACACTGATGTATGACAATAAAATACCTTGTCCTGCAGCAAGTGGATATCTTCTCACATTGCAGCGATCACTGTCATGGACCCTGGGAGGCCACTTTCCTTGCTTTTACTTTGCACCCACCCAGTTGCCATCAGAGTCTGCATTTTGCTCAGATACACGCAGGAAAGCCAGAATTTATCTACGCACTGACTATGTGCTCGTAACCTACCATCTGAATTAACCTCCAGAAGTTCACTGCAAAGCCCACAACCTTCTTTTAGTTCAACAACAGCCAGCTGGCACAAAGGCAGCTGGAGAAAATGTATTTAAATTTCCCTCTTCGTTAGAAGGAGGCATGGTCCAGAAGGCCTGGGATTTAAAAGCAAACTTGCCTTGTCTTGCATGTGATTTTCAGAAGCAGCAGATGCACTATTAAATTAATATCAGTTCTACAATATACTTAATTTATTAAGAAATTCATTGGTGACCAGTTTATGTCTGATATATAATGTGTATCACCATAACAGCTATGGGCATGCCTATTAACTAATTCTTAAAAACAAAGTGTAATTTCTGCTTACTTTATTCAGGGAAATTGTCTCTCTTGTTAAAAATGGTATGAAGATAAATTAGACCACCAATATTAAATGCAGTATTAATGTTCTTCAGCTTTATATGGAATCATATTCACTGCTTTCTACAAGTCCCTTTACATCTTAGTGCTCCAAGAAACTGTAACATGAAAAAAAGAATGTTTCTTACATGAATTTTTCTTTTCATCTCCCTTTTTTTCTCTTTTCTGGCAAGATGAGTTCAGTGTTCACTAGCAAATGAGATGTTCAGTATTAGTGAGCAACAGAAGCACTTTACAGACTTCTTTCTTGCTGGTGAATCCATTTATTTTATAAGCTCAAATAAAACATAACTTTAACTGACCTACCAATTATATTACCTGATAACATCCATTTGTTTTTTGGGGTTTTTTTTTCAGTCTTACTTTGGAGAAGAGAATGATTTACATAGTTCACTCAGCAATAACTTAATGACTTCCTGAGGGCAAATACAGAAGTTTTCAACAGGACAATCATGTATAACAAATAAGTTTCACTTTTCATTTTAGATAAGAGCCTACTTTCTTAAAAGGAAAAATTAAGAAAGGAAAATTGAATATTATTAGGTTCTGAGTTGGACCCTTTATTAATATTACTCACGCAGCTGTTTTGTTCTTTCTGAAATACAGACTATCCCCAAAAAGGAATTTTATAGCTTTAGTCACATTGGAGCCTCATGGGACAATAACAAAGCCCTCAGAGAATGATTTTTAAATATGTCAAAGGACTTTGCATTTGTATGCATGTGTCAGAGCACACAAATATGCAGGAGACATTCAGATGGGTCCCTTTGAGAATCTATTTTCATACTCAGTGTGTTATGTGACGAAGTACACAGAGTCCCGCTGGGCAGCTGGGACTGTGGCATCAGGAGAGTGGGGCTTAACTCCCTGCTGCGCTGCAAAGCCTCCCTTGGGACCTGGGTGGGATCAGAGTGACCACGCTGGCCACCATCACACAGACCCTCCGGCCCTTCTCTGTCTGAAGTGATGCCTGCCCTTAATGACCAGCAGCAAACTCCCTCGGCAGCTTGCTAAATCCCAGGGCTACTAAAGCCCATTGTAAGCACAGTGCTGAGCAGGCACTGATGCCAACTGAGGGCTAGCCAGCTACATAAAGAGCCATTCAAGCCAAAATCTTCACAAATAAATTTCAGAATAAGCATTACTCTGCCTGTCTTTCTAGTGAAGCTTATACCCTACAGCACAGGCCAAAATGATGTGTGCATCCCTGACTCACGGCCCTTAACTCTAGGTCACAGCAGGGTAGGGGGAAGTTCAGGCCTGATTTTTTTATTCACCAAATAAGCAAGCATTGGGTCAAACAGTTTAAAATCATGCCAAATTTTTTAAAAGCCAAAACTGATCTGGCTAGAGAAAAATACAAAAGAAAGTGAAGAGTACCATCTCAGTATTTTCAAATGGCATTCTGAACGGTGCTTCAGAGAAGAATGTAAGCAAAAGTTTAATAAACAGCAGTAGCAAAGCAATTGTTTTGGGTCTAGCTAACAATTCCATGCATTTCTTTCCCACAAATTTGAACATCAATTATTCCCACAGCTTTAATTACAGCTTAGTTACCTGTGATGATGTGGAAGACTTGAATCAGGGCTCACAAAAATTAAATGGCTGCTCTAAGTACTAAATGGCTGGCCAGTCCAAGAGAGTGGTCTCTCGATCTCCTGTTGGAGGTCTTCCTTCAGGCCTCGGGTTTTCTGGTCTGAGCTCACCCTTTGCAGAGTGAAGACAACAGCATGTGGACCTACTGCAAGGCCTCTGGAGCAGATCCTTTTGATTCTGTATCATGGGTCTCACTCTGCAAGTACAGAGCATACGTACTGCTATGGCATGGATAATACATTAAAGACTTTGAAGCTTCCAGGTATAGTGATAAAGGAGGATAGATAAAAACATCAAAGAGAATTTTATTATGAGTAATATATAAATATCAGAAATAAGTGTTCAACATGAAATATTGCAATTCCACTGTCCAAATGTATGACAGGACATTCTTCAGGAAATTGAAGAACAATATTAAAACAAACTGGCAGTGACTAGTCATATTAAGGAGATACTGAGGACGACAGATGGATTTGTGACTACCTTTTAGTTTTTCAAGTATTTTACAAAAGACCTTCCAGGTTCTAATCTGATTAGAAACATAGGCCTCTTCAATGTTTTTCTACAGCATAAGTAAGCAGAAACTACTCTGAAATGTGTGCAACCCTTGGTCTCTGTGCTCCTGTATCCTTTCCTGTTTTCCCTTTGAGAGAGGAAAACCGTCACAGTTCAGCTGAATGTTGAAATCCATAAAATGGATGGAAAAGAGGATGTCATAAAAGATGGAGAGGTGAATATCCAGAATTGTTTTTTAAAACCCATACAGAAATTTTCTGAGAGTGTGTATTCAGAAGAGTGTGCCAGAAGCATATTAAGGGGCAAGAAAACTCTCAGATATTTATTTTGTATAGCTGAAGAGGATGCTAACCTTCCTTTTCAAGAGACTGATGTTTTGCTTAGTTTGTTCCTATTACATTTTTTTTAACAGATGAATAAAAATTCTTCCAACATAATGGCTTTGGCTCCTAACACTTCTAACAAAAGAGAGACTGTGTGCATATTTGGAACTGGAGATTTTGGAAGAGCTTTGGGGCATAAAATGATTCAGGCCGGATACCCCATTGTGTTTGGAAGCCGGAGCACACAGACTTCCAGCCTGATTCCCAAGGATGCAGAGGTGTTGAGCCATGCAGAGGCAGCTCAGAAAGCTGCCATCATCATTATAGCAATCCAGAGGCAACATTACAACTTCCTTACACCACTAGCAGAAGTTCTCCATGGAAAAGTCTTGGTGGACGTAAGCAACAACTTGAAAATAAACCAGTATCCTGAATCCAACACAGAGTACCTCGCTCATCTGGTGCCTGGCGCTAAGGTTGTGAAAGCCTTTAACACTGTGTCAGCCTGGGCCTTGCAGTCGGGCACACTGGATGCAAGCCGGCAGGTAAGACTGAGCAATGGGGGTTTCCTATGGGATAGAGTTATATGGGATAGAGTTATATATCATATGGTTTCTTAACTGCTAGACAAAACACACATGGGACATGCAAATCAGACAGGGTTGAGATGGGATTTTCACTATAATTCCCCTTTTCAAATTAAACGTGAACTAAACATTGTTTTGTAATATGGCATGATAAGCAATATTGCTAACTTGCCTCTGAATTCACTAAGGTGTTTGGAGACACTAAAAAGGCAAGGAAAGAAACCTAGCAGAGCTAGAAAGAAAGAGACAGACAATCAGGAGGAAATGAGGGCTGCATCAGATGTTCACCAAGAATGTGAAGTTAAACAGAAAGGAGATAGGAAGAATATATCAAAGTAAGAACAAAACGAAAAGAGCAAAGAAAGGGAAGCAAGGGATATGATGGGGCAATAGAATGAGTACAGGCAACAGAAGTGAGCTGGAAATTAATAAAGTTTTCTAAATCAGAATCCATTACCACAGAAATTTAACACAATGACAGCGTGTGCAAACCATTTTAACCACCTCCTTAGCCACAGGACAGCAAGCACAGAGGTGGCCACAGAAAGCAATACAGCAGCTTACTTGAAGACAAAATCATTTATTATTACCCTGTTCTTTGCCAGTCTGAGCGACAGTGCTCTTGTACAACACACGGTTTCAGTCAGCTACTCAAACCATTGCTACCTTTATTTTCTGCTGCCAGATAAATGGTTTTGGCTAAAAAAGATGCAAAGACTTCCAAGCCTAGGCTCTACCAGCCCTCATCATATCAACGAGAGCAGAAATTGCCCCCTTTCTCCTTGTAGCAAAAGGAGTATTGTCTTGCACGCTCACAGAAAAGATTTTTTTTTCACTGTCTTAGTAGACTTGGAAAGAAATAATATTTAGTTTTGCGATAGGGCAATTGTGTTTTATAGATCTCTGTCCCCCTGTTCCCTGGAGTCTTTACAGACCTCTGCAGCAGCAATTGAAAACTCCTGCAAAATCTTGTGCTTACAAACTTCTTGCAGGTCTTCAGAAGAGTCTGTCAAGTCTTCTAGACAGACTTAGTATACTAAGAGTGTTATACTTTGTTCCTTTCAGATACAAAATTGTGCCACTTGAAACAATCTTCTTCCCCAAAGAAAAGATTCATATCGATAATTCTTGGACCTGTTGGCCAAGAAAGTACCTATGGGCTACATTTTGCCTATATAAAATAAGGCCAGCAGGGAAGCCAACAAGTAGCCTAGGAAGCTTGTGCTCATAGTCCAAATCCAGGCAGGATATCAGTAAAGGATATCACAAAAGTCTGTCTAAATAAAATTTCTGTTTGTTTTGGGCTGCAGGTGTTTGTCTGTGGAGATGACATGGAAGCTAAACAAATGGTGATGGATATAGTTCGTGCTCTGGGTCTCACTCCATTAGATAAGGGATCCCTCTTGGCTGCTCAAGAAATAGAAAATTACCCTCTGCAGCTCTTTCCAATGTGGAAGTTTCCCATCATTTTGTCCTTTTGCCTAACCGCCTTCTTCTTCTTCTACTGTGTGATTCGTGATATAATTTACCCTCATGTTTATGAAAACCAAGACTTTTCATTTTTTATTGCAATTTCCATTCCAAATCGGATCTGCCCTATATTGGCACTCATTCTTCTTGCCTTGGTTTATCTGCCTGGCATATTTGCTGCAATTCTTCAGTTATACAGAGGTACCAAATACCACCGTTTCCCGGACTGGCTGGACAAATGGATGCTTTGTAGGAAACAACTCGGTCTAGTAGCCTTGGCGTTTGCTTGTCTGCACGTTTTGTACACGCTTGTCATCCCAATTCGCTACTTTGTAAGATGGAGAATCAGCAGTTATATCATCTCCCAGGTAAGTTGTGTTCCCTGCTCTATGTCTTCCTTTCTTCTGGCCCTGTTACAAATATTCTCTTCCATCTTGAGCCTCAGAAATTCATGTGGACAGTCTAATATTCTGTACAATAGGGCTATTTTCCTAGTTTCTGTGTTGATTTTAACCACTCGTATATCCAAAGTTTTGTGATATTATGGTGAGCTGAAGGGATTTCTAGCCTCAGTTTTCCTATGGGATAGCCTGTTTATTTACATGTTGATGTAAATGTTTACATGTTAATAAAATAAGCAGAGAAAATGTAACCATTAAGAGTAATTTAAAGAAACACATTCTCCTATTTCTCCACTTATCTTTAAGAATGGCATGTATTTTTACTTTTAAAATGACACGTATTTTGACATTCTGACCTTATTTAACAACAAAGGATCACATACCTGTCCTCAAAGGTAGGTCTACAGCAGTATAAAACACACATCACAGTGACAGGTACATGGCAACTTCTGCTTTTTGAGTAGGCATTTAGAGCAAATCTCTGATGATTTTCAGAGAGTTAATGTATAATGTTTATCTCCTAGTTACCTTAAAGGATGTTTTTTCTGCATATCGATCCTAAAACTGCTATCACTAAGATATACCTGGTCTTCTTTTCTTCAGGTACTGAACAACCAAACACAACCACTTGACAACACTAATGCCTGGATAAGTGACTCTTACTTGGCTTTGGGAATTTTAGGATTTTTTTTATTTGTTCTTCTGGGAATAACCTCCTTGCCCTCTGTCAGCAACAATGTCAACTGGCGAGAATTTCGATTTGTACAGGTAAGAAAAAGACTTATTCTAAAAAACCTTCTTGCCTTATAAACTATGACCCCAGACAGGTTTACTAGAGACTTAGGGCTTTCCTCCACTAGTATGTCCAAATGTGATGTGTGCACTATCCACCATCATACAGCAGAAAAAAAACCCCTACATGGTTATACACCTCACCTGTAAAAAAACACAACTGCTCTGATGGCTGCTTATGGTACAACTGGGATTGAGAAATTTGGGAAGACATGAGCTTTTAAATAAGAAACATTATCAAATTATCAAATTCCACAATTATACTAAGTCACAAAATATTTTAGCCATTTATTGAGCAAATTTTATTGGTTCACGAGATAATTCAGTTAAAATGGGTCTGAAAAATGACCTTATAACTCATATCTTCTCAATGCCAAGCATGTAAAGAGAATCTGCCGTTTCTGCAGACTCTAAAGCTGCTGTGCCTATAAACAGGCTGTCCTTGGTAACACTATAATCTCAGCCCCCTGTTCGGAGGAAGCTTGGTGCAAGCTGCCGTGCCTCTGCAGGAGCTGGGCTGGCAGGGGATGGGAGGCAAGGGAAGAGCAAATTACTGTCAATGAATGTTTTATCAAGGCCAAAAGCTTGCACAGTATGGTAGTTCTGGATGGATTAGCACTAGAGCATATAAAAGCTTGGATCTCTCCACTGAATTTCAGCATTTTCTCTGCATTTTCATAAATACGACAACCACCGGGCAGTATGTGTGAGCTAGCAAAAATTATCAGGATTATTGATAGAGAAAAAAAAAAGCAAAGATTTTTTCACCTAGATCCATTTGAACGAATCTTTATTAAAAAACAATAAGACTCTTTATATTACATAAAACAGTTTCATTTCAGCAGTCCCCAATTAGTCCCAAAGTTGGCACATTCCACAAAGCTTACTGTGTTTTATGAATTGCATTTGTTCTGGTTTAATTTACTCTTTTAAGCTCCACTTCTTTCTTTCTTTCTTTCCTTTTTTCTCCCCTAGTCCAAACTGGGATACCTGACACTGATTTTGTGCACTGCACACACACTGTTCTATGGTGGAAAGCGGTTCCTGAGCCCGTCCTCGTACAGATGGTATCTTCCAAACGCCTATATGCTCTCCCTCATTGTTCCATGCATGGTACTGGTTGTCAAATTTGTGCTGATATTTCCTTGTCTAGACAAACCTCTCACGCGAATTCGACAGGGCTGGGAGAGGAATCCACAACACTCAGCACAGTCAAATTACATTATCAACAAGTCTGCTGTATAATTAGACTAACCTGTATTATCAAAAAGAAGAAAAAAAAATACTATGACGGCATATCAAAATTAAGTCCTGAGCCTCCTTTATGTGGAGAGTGAGTGAAAAAGTGAAAAACTTGTCCAGGCCCTGAGTAAAATAAAGCCACCCCAATGACAATCTTAAAACACAAATCAAATGAAACCACTGAGTTCCTGCACCCCAGGCATGCTATCACACAGGTGCAGACCTCTCTTTTGCTCAGTGTATTCCCCCTTGCCTACTCACCCTCCACTCCTAAGCAGGGTATAAGAGAAGTAAGTGGTGCTCCATGTCCCTCCTCTGTCATTCCAAACCTCCTCCAGGGCTGGGCAGAACCAGAGCAACCCTTGGCGTTAGACAGCACCTGCTCCTCTTCCCTATCCTTTGCATTGGGACTCAGGTCTACATGCACCTGCACACATCCATACACACACACACGCACACGTGCATGAACGCACACCCTCCACTCCCAGAAGCCACCCAGACCCAAAGAACGAGCGCAGGATGGATACTGGCTGAGGAACAGCTCTCTTCCTCCCAGCATTTGTTCATCCTGCATTAACATCTGAGCCAAAAGAGACCTATGTTCATACCTTAGAGATCGCTGAGTAAGATTTGTTTGGTCTATGTACAGCAATTCTAATGTTCAAATATATGGGCCAAGGATTACTGATTCCTTGCTTGCATGGCTCTACCAGAAACTCAGGTGGCCAGGGGATGGAGGAGAGACCAAAATGGCAGAAAGACGTGAGATGTGCTCACAAGCCTAAACTTCTCTAGAATTACAGGCAAAAAGCGTGATTTTTTTGTGTAAGCAGTGAATTGTAAAGTAAGCAACTGAAGGAATATCTTATTATATCAGGGGGTTGTATTATATGTCATGGTTGTATCTCATGAAGAGAATATTGTTGATTTTTCAAAAAATAAATCTTTGGATGCAATATTACAGATATTCTATGAGAATATACATATTTTAGCCACAATAAAGAATTTTTTTTTGCAGTGTTGAGCTCTGTTATCATTTCTGGAACCTCTTGTGATAGGATGCAGCTGCTGGTATGCTCGGTTGCATAAGGGTATTGGAAGGCCTTGGGGCAAGCAATAAAATGGGATCCTGTCTTCAGCTAGCTGCCTGGCCTCACCTTCCCCCATCTTTTTTTGCTCCTTGAATGCTCACATAAGCAGATCTTTGCTTAGTCATCCAAGTGAGCCGAGGATATTGTGGAAAAACAGGATCCAGCTGGGACGGTGACCTCCTGTTAAACTGGAAACAGGATCAGACAGTGTCCTTTGCATTGGACAATAAAGGCAAAATGTGTTTGTCTTCATAGGAAGAGAATTGTTTTCTATCTTTTATTTCTCTGTTGTTCTCCTCCCTGTCCACACAGAGGATAAATAGTCATAAATACGAAAGTATAAGCATGCTAACTAGTACAGCTAACTGCACTTTTAAACATGCACAATCAAGCAGTTTAAAAAAAAACCAAACAACACTATCTGAACACTTCTCACAATATTTCTCAACAGTGGAGTCTTTTTTAGTTCTTGACATACATCCCCTCTTCATGTCATCCTCCAGCCCAGAAAGAGCCTGTTCTTAATACCCGAAAGAACAGTAAAGGAGTCTGGGATATCAGCAATTGATGGAGCCAGGTTCCTTGGAAATAATTCCGGCAACAAGTACTTTTACTAACCAGCACTGGTGCATATGGTATACTTTGCATGTCATAAACTGATACGCATATGTTGACATAGGTCTATACAGAAATTTTCCTTGACCTGTCCCATGATGGAGTAGTACTCCATTTCAAGCTTCCTTCAAAGATTTTCCACGTTAATCTTACAGAATAATTTACTGCAGAAGGGATCAGGTATGGGCTCAAAGGGCCCAAGTGACAACACTTTTGTGAAGATGCTTATAACACCTCTTTACAGCTCCCTAAAGAAGAGGAGAGAGAGGCAGAAGCAGCAGCAAGAGAGAAGGAGAACAAGACAGAAAGACAGAGAGTGTATGTTTGTGTGTGTGCATATAGGTAGAAGAGAAAGGGATAGACAAGGCAGAAAGTAAGTAGCAGCAGCCTGAGTGAATAACCTCTAGATTTGACATTTTTGAGCCAAATTCTCGTCTCAGAGACAGAGTTACTCTAGATTTATGTTACTACAAATAGTAACACTTCCATGACACTGATACAGATTGGCATATTTTTTATTACTTTTTGAAGGATTTATTTTCGGGGTTTCTGCCTATCCAATACAGATCTAAAACCCACCCTCTTCTCTCTCTCACAGCTGAACCTATGCATTGGAGTTTAAACTGCAACTGCCATGGCAAGTAACACTCATTTAATAGCTACGCTTTATGAAATATAAACATCTCAAATGCTCTGCCTCCTTTCCTCTCAGCGACAAGGCTCCTGCGTGTTTCCGAGTGCCTTGCGCTAAAGGACAGGCCAAAACAGGTTTTCTTTACCCTCGCTGAGAATAAGTGCAAAGTAACTGTGGCCTGACTGAATACCACCTCTATATTCACCCACTACTAAACCATAGTCTCAAACACGTGCAGGGCTGTAGCTCCTGCAGGGAAAGACATAAGATCTTCTTCAAGGACTGATATCACGTTGCTTTGTTACGCTAAAACACAGACTGGGTCTTACTGAAAATGCCAGGCGGCTAGGTACAATTTGCAATTTGTTGTTTACTCCAGGAATAAAGTGCCAATATCTGCTGTGTACAAACCGAGGAGACGATGCCGTTTGTTTGCACGGGGTGCGTGTGGCAGCTCTCAGGAGCTGATCCAAAGCATCTGAAGTCAGCAGCAGGCTCTTTGTTGACTTCAGTAGATAATAATAGGTCAGATCTCCAGCAGCACTTGTTTTTCCAGTCTAACGGAGGGATTTCATGTCCTGTTATTGTTGGGCAGCTGGGAGTATTTGCTTCACAAATTTACATATTTATTTCTTGAACATTGTAGCGAAAACAAAGTTCTTCAGTATACTTACATGATAGTTCAACTAAAGCTTTCAGTGGAAGTATTTTGAAAACCATAGCCAGTTCTATAAAAACTGTTGGTAGCTTGTGTACATTTCTCATGGCCAAGCTCTTCGTATTAATAATTTTTTTTATCTACTGACAAAGCCTGGTCAGAAAGGACATCAGAAGGATCATGAAAGGAATGTGTTTTCCACATTGTTCCCAGAAACCAAGAAGAGCCTTTATGTCCATATGTACATAATGCCATTCTAAGAATTCCTGCAGAAATAAAGCATTGACTCTCAACTCTGCTTCTAAATTGGAGTCAACACTCAAAAAATATAAACTACAGCTTTGCAAATAAATGGTCACATGGACATTGTCATGATAACAACAAAGGCTGAATTTCATTGCATAAGAAAGATTTATTCTGATGGAGAGCGCTACAGCATAGTGTGATTTTTAGAACTCTACATCCTGCATGATGTGGATAATTTAACCTCCTTTTGTCTTTTTTGTTATACTTAGGGAATATTCACTTCAACCAAAATTTGCAGTTATTAGTGAAAATAAAGTATTTTAATTAATTAGATTTACTTCTGTCTTGAGACAGTAATGGGATGTCAGATACACACCGGCCCCAGGGGATGCAGCTGACATCACAGATACTGCTGGATCTTGAACCCCGGGGATCTAAGCAATTCTCTTCAGTTCCATGACACCGCACTGCACATCCTGAGATCTCCAACTTATTTCTGCTCTGCAGCATGACCTGCTGTCAGCCTTCTCTGCCTTATCTCACAATCACCTCTCACTCCAAGATATGACTGTTCTCTACCCAGTCTAGAAAGCCCCTTGCTTCCAGCATGTCAGGTTTTTACGGCTTTGCTCTTGTGTCCTATCAGACACAAGGTTTTAGAAGAGCATCTCTTGCCTCAGACACTGGTGAGCCTTTCTGATTCACTAGTGCAAATAACAAACCGGTGAATAGTATGAACACTCCCAGGAACTATGTAACCTGTGTTTAGCTCCTCTTCCATACTCTGATTAACGTATTTAATAAATCTTCGATGTTCCTGTAATAGCCTAAATACGGTTTCTCTTCCACACTCTATGGAAGCTTTCTCTCCTACAGAGACTCTTTTTTACTTCTGCATTATACATGCTTCTGTTGTGGATCTCCATTTGTATCTCTAATTCCTGGCATTAACATGAACGATTTGCTCCCTGGAGGGAGCTGACTTTCCTCAAGATAATTTTTTTTTTACATATCACTGTGATAAGAAAAACTGCACATCTTGTGTTGTTGCACATTGCCTTAATTCAATGTTCTTGAATCTGGGAATCCAGAACTGACGTAAATATTAGCTATGACAAGGCTAGACCCCTGACATATTATTTTCTTATAACGAATCTCAGTGCTACAAAACGATACACTGCAGAACCTTGAGAGGACATGTACAGACCTCAGAGAATTGCACGAAACTTAGCGTATGTCTCCAATTGCTGCAAATCAGAAGTGATATTTTTTAGTTTATATGGCTTCACACACATCCTTTACTCTTGCCTCTCTTTTTTCTTCCACATCCACATTTGCTTATTATTTGAGATTAACGCAAATACAGCCCCTCCACTGTTCTTGCTTCTCTTCACACTTGTTCAGATTTACTCTTGGAAAATCTTAACTGCAATCAGCAGGCTCAAGTTATTAAACATCAGTGCAGAGGTCTTTCCTAGTTTAATATCTATTAATTTTTCCCCAGTTTTATGGAAAATGAGAAAGTGTAGTCTCTCTAAATCTCTCTTTAGAGACTTCAGCAAATATTTCAATGAAAAATTAAAAATTGCAAGTTATTGTAATATTCTTATCATTGCAGGCATTTCTGGGACAGATCATGACTGAATGGTGGCATAGAGGGTGGGAGGTGTTTTGAAAGTATCATTTCTGGAGAAAAGAATATAGGAAGGAAGGAAGGAAGGAAGGAAGGAAGGAAAGAAAGAAAGAAAGAAAGAAAGAA